AAATGGAAAAAACTTTGACTCTTTGGAGGCCTTAAAAAAGGGCATCTCTTCGTTCTTCGAATCTAAACCGCGCAGTTTTTATGATCGAGGCATCCGTATGCTGCCAGAACGTTGGGAAAAGATTATAGAAAACGATGGAGAATATATCATTGATTGAATAAAGATTTTTGTTTGCCTAATCACTGTGTGACTTTTACTCACAAACTCCGCACGAACTTTTGCACTCACCCAATATTTTTTTAGTACTTATTTCAATAACAAAATGTGTGAATACATTCAGGTTCGGAGAATATGCTGGGTGCGAAAGAACTTCCCTCCGTCAATGTTTGTTTTACGGCTATAGCAACATGGGGCCGAGCGTTGTCATAGAGAATAATTATTTTCAGCGATTTGATGCAATTGATGGTCGTTTTTGCATCAAATTATTATTCAAACACTCTAATTGTTATCAATAACGTTCGACGGTGACTGTTTTGTTTGGTTTCAACGTATCCTCCATATCCCACTAAATAGAGAGCATTGCTTTGTGATCGTGAACGTTTCGCTTTTGTGTCAACGTTGATGGTTGGCCAAGATCAATTCATGATTTCTTGTGTTGTCGAAATAGATTCACTTTTTATCGCCGATCACAATATGCCACAAGAAACTCTTCTTTTTATGACTTACGAGCAAAGAAATAGAAATATTTAAATGATTAGCAATGACATTTTCGGTCAATTCATGTGGCAGCCATCTTCTTTCTTTCTGGATCTTTCTCGTGGCTTGTAAATGTCGTGAAATGGTTGATTTATTGACTTCAAGCTATTGAGCCAATTCTTTGAATGTTTGAGCAGGGTTTTCTTCCAATAAAGTTTGCTGTTGTTCATTTCCGAACTTTTTCGATTGACCTGGCCGTTATTTATCGTGAACAACCACCACTTTTGAATCGTTGAAACCAATATCTACATACTGTTTTCGATGGAGCAGATTCACCATAAATTTTCGCAAGCAATTGATGAGCTTCAGCTGCACTTTTTTTCAAATTAACCCATTAACGCTCGAGCAGATTTAAACGGACATTTGAGTACCCTACCTAGCCAAAATAAAATTTTGCTAGGGAAACTTGCTCGTTAGGAGTAAAAATGTGCGCTTTTTCGATTCCCGCTGTTATTTTTCATCCACATCTCCCGGAAATTCCCTTAAAAAGGGTGTAAAGAGGATAAATTTCGGAAAAAGTGTCCGTAGCACTTTAATAAACGAATAAACTACAAGAAAAAAAATGTTTCAAGATCAAAAGTACATTACCTTAGTATTTTTTCAGAACACTAGAATGTATTCGATGGTATTTTTAAATTCCAACCCCTTGTAAGGATAGTAAATAGAGAAATGGGATTGAACTGCTCAAATTTCTGAAAATCGAGTTTTGAAACATCAAAACTTTAGCGGCTGCGTTATGGATAGTTATGGATAGAGATGTTCCTAACTATTTTTCGAAATGTCCATATATCAGAGAGTAACATTAATACTATAATAGTATATATGAATGGATTTGGTATAAAATATACTTTCATTTGTTAAAAACAAAATTTTTGGATTATAAAAAATAGTAAGTGGTGGAGTATATTTAAAATTCTGAATATTGAAAAAAATTCTGAATATTTAAAATACTGAGTATTGAAAAAAATAAAAATGCTGTTATAAAATATTCTTTAAACCATTAAATTTTTATTGGAAAATTTTTTTTATTATACTTTTGATGGTCTCTTACGGAAAAAACATTCAAATATTAAATACCTACACTCAATTGTTCGAATTTACTCTCAAATATTATATGTCAATTGAGAATAAATTCAAATAATTGAATATAGATATCCAATATTTGAGATTTTTTGACGTAAGGGATGTTCCGAAAGAAAAATACTGATTTTTTCCAAAGGGATGCATCACTCCTTAAAAAGTCCGTATAAAAGTTGGACACGTATAAAAAAATATCTCTTATTTTGGTTTGTATTACAATATATTAGGTTGGGGAAAAAGAAATCCATTATTTTTCCGCTAGATGGCTTTAGTGGGGGGGGGGAGGGTAAGGTTGCCCAAGGGCAACGTCGGCGGGTGTGGTAACACACCCGCCTGAGAAGGAACCGCCGAGTTGGTGTCGGCGGGGCTGAAAACAGCCAGAGGGTCGCCAGATTTTCCGGATCGGTGGAGGGGGGGTGTTAGTTCCCTCTCGTTGAGAGGGGGCTTCCCCCTCTGCCGCGGTGAGGAGAAGGATCGGCGAAGCTGTGCGACCGGGGAAAATTGGACCCCTCACGTGGGAATAAACCTGCGTGAGGATATCCACGAGCTCGTACCTCCCATTAGGGAAGGAAACGAGTGGTGGATAAGCAGAGGCAGGCCCAGGTGTGGACAGGTGGCCCAGACCTGTCTCATCCCACTTCGAACACCGGAGGTGGGGTTGGGAGAGGGGGGTGGTCCCCCCCCCCCCGCCGGCCTATAGCACGGTCGGCAAGGGCTAGGCGGCCCTCTTTTTTCGAAAGGGAGACGACGCCAAGCCTTAGTCCCCCACGCGCGCCCCGATGGAGTCCGAACCCTAGTCCGGGGACTGGGTTGAGTTGTAATAACATCAATAACTCCCCCTCCCCGGGCTGGGGGGAGGGAGTGGAGCAGAGGTTAGAGCACGGAGCAGCGTTCTCCAGCCCGGACACGACTTTGATCCGCTGGGTCCGAAGTGTCCGGGTTTGGAGATCGTAAGTTCGCTCACCGCTCCCCTCTCCACTCCCTCTTGGGCTTCGTCGTGCGTGGGAGACATAGGGCGAGGGCCGTGAGGCCCGGCGTGGCGGTCGTGCAGGGAATGTGAAAGTCAGTTCGCATAGCCGCTGGAGTAAACCGCAGAAATCACGCCAGAGGGCAGGAAGGTACCCCCAGGGGGTTTTAATGGATGCAACCCCCACATAACTCTCGGGCTCCCCACAGGGCCCGAAGGTATCCGGTAGGGATTTCCCTCTGGATTACCAAAAAAAAAAAAAAAAGATGGCTTTAGTGGTATATATCACATGATGTATTAATCGCATAGGTTAATATTTATACTCGTTGCAAAGTGACATTCCGTACTAAAAAGAATTCTTTAACGGTTTTGTGATTAGTCGATTAAGTTGTGAGTTATAGCACGTAAAAGATGTACGTCAACAAAAAGAAAATTCGGTATATTTTACAATTTTGCTTCGATAAAGGCGAAAATACAAGCCAGGCGGCTGAAATTGTGAATGGTGTTTATGGTCCCGATACTGTCACAGCTAATCACGCGCAATTTTAGTTTCATCAATTCCGTTCCGGTAATTTTGATGTTAAAGATGCATCTCGCACAGGTAGGCCCGTCGTCGAAAATGTTAATAAAATTATGGAAATAATCGAAGTAGACCGGCATGTTAGCAGTTGTAGTATCGCCTAGGAGCTGAAGATCGACCACAAAACAGTTTTAAACCATTTACATAAAGCTGGATTCAAAAAAAAGCTCGATGTTTTGGTGCCACACGAATTGAGGCAAAAAAACATGATGGACCGAATTTCAATCTGCAAAGCCTTGATCAAACGGAACGAAATCGAGCCATTTCTGAAACGGATGGTGACTGGGGATGAGAAATGGAATACATATGACAATATTGTGCGAAAACGATTGTGGTCAAAGCGCAGCGAAACGGCTCAAACGGTGGCCAAACCAGGATTAACGGCCAGGAAGGTTTTGCTGAGTGTTTGGTGGGACTATAAAGGAATCATCCACCATGAGCTGCTTTCATATGACCAAACACTAAATTCGGACCTCTATTGTCAACAATTGGACCGTTTGAAGCTAGCGATCGACCAGAAGCGGCCAGAATTGGTCAATAGGAGAGGAATTGTTTTTCATCAGGACAATGCCAGGCCACATACGTCTATAGTGACTCGTCAGAAACTCCGGGAGCTTGGTTAGGAAGTTTTGATGCATCCACCTTATAGTCCGGACCTGGCACCAAGCGATTACCATCTGTTTTTGTCATTGCAAAACTTCCTTGATGGTAAGAAATTGACCTTAAGAGAAGACTGAAAATCGCTTAGTCGAGTTTTTTGCAAATAAGGATCAGGGCTTCTATGAAAGAGGGATCATGAAATTACCTTTAAAATGGCGACAAATTGTAGAACAAAACGGTGCTTATTTGACCAAAATCGAACAATCTTAACTATGTTAAATAAAGCCTTGAAATAAATGAAAAAATAATGGATTTCTTTTTCCCCAACCTAATATTTCAAGTCCATCCAAATTAGAAAGAGACCTGTTTCCTTGTTGGGTCTTGGAACATTTGCTAATTAATTATTTCCTAATTAATTAATTTTTTCCTTCTTTTCTTGAAATATATTACGCTGCCAAGTTAATCGATTCGATCGATTCAATATTTTCAAGTTTTTTCTTAATTTGTAAAAGAAATAAGTCGTGTTTGAAGCTACTGTTTGAAATTCTTAATGTGAACATAAAGTCCCTTACGGAAAGAAAAACTCAAATATTGAGAGTTTACACTCAGTTGTTCGAATTTACTCTCAAATATGGATATATACACTGGTGTATATATCCACATTTGAGAATAAATTCGAATAATTGAGTGTAAATGCTCAATATTTAATTATACTCAATATTTAATCACGATACTATTAGCCAATCCTATTTCAAATGTCTTAGCTACTTCGGTTGGATTTTAACTCCTATATTCTTTTCTCACGGTATATGGTAAGCCGTATTTCATTCTTAATATGTTTCTATTGTCACATCTTGATTTCGTATATGATTTCTGCCGCGTTTCTGCAATTATACTATGTCAATAGATTATTTTGGGAAAAAAGGAACTTAATCGGAACGCAGTAAATAGAAATCGAAACGCAGTAAATAGTGTTCAATATTTATAATTGGATTTGCTGATATTCTAATATCATTTGACTATTAGGAGAGTTGATACATACAATCTATTTTGAAGATACTTTGGAAAGATACGAACCTGCTGCACCGGAGAAGGATAAAGATTTAGCAAAACTAGAACTGGAAGCTTGGGCACTGCTGAAAGATCCAGCATAAGCGTGGGTATCGCTAATAGATCCTGCGATATTATTTCCTCTTGACTCGGAATGACCTGCACCAATACCATAGTTGTTTTTATAATTACCGAATACAGAACCGATATCAGTTTAAAAACTTCTGAGCTCACCAGGACCATTATTAATATATACTATTTGAACGTTCAATACTAAATTCAATATTTTCACCGGTTCCTCTATGTACCCCTCCTGATTGCTTACCATCTTTTGTAGTTGCATAGCTTCCACTGCCGGGTAATCCACAACCAAAAAGACCATATTTACATTGTAACGGACTAGCATTCTGGGAATTACTTGCCAAGATTGTAGAATAAGGTACACCGTCCTCGCCTTGCGCAAAACTTTGTCCAAAATGAACACCACTCTTTACATCTCCGTAACTATTATTTCCTAGTATTTTTGATCCAGGAGATTCGACAGGATGTTTATTATATAATGGTCTACTCAAGCCGCTGCTTACACTTCCGAAAGATGCAACGAAAGGATTATTTCCATCGGGCTTTCTTCCACCGAGCGAAATTACTTTATGTTCATCGGTATTAACTTCGATATCATCTATTTTTTTGTTATTATTTAGAAAAGGATTTTCTTTATTAAATGGTTTTGTATTTTCTTGTTCAGGAGGAATTATATTTTTATCATTGTTTGCATTATTGCCGTCAGGCTTAGAACTACTCCAACTGGAGTCCAGGAACGGATTTCCTTCGCCAATTGGTTTAGGTGTAATTTCACTCCAAGGTCGTGAAACATCACTTGGAATCCTATCTAGAAATAAATAAAAATATATTGAATAAAATGAATAAAATTATACATATAATTAATATGTATAATATGTACATATATGTTCACATGTATTTTTATATTATATAAAATATCTTATGCAAGTCGTACTAACGCTCATGTGCATAAACATCAATTATCGCATGCCAATCAAACTAACAAGCAACCTTGTAACCAATAGGACCACTATTATTTTGTAAACAGCCATATAAAATATTAAATTATTGGGTGTACAAATTAGTTCGGTCCGTTTTCAAAAGATGGCTTCGGCTGTTATGAATGGTTCATAGTGACTGCCGATTTTGGCGGTTTCAGAGAGGTTAAACACCTGCCAATAATATTCAGTTTATATCGCTTTGAGTTTCATACAAAAACCTTGCCTTTTACAGTGTTGAAAATGTCGCAATTTGTGTTAACCAAGCAGCATTTGCGGGAGGTTTCAATTTTCTGCTTTAATTGGAAGAAAAGTGCAGCTGAAGCCCATCAAATGCTTGTTGAAATTTATGGTGACGCTGCTCCAACTGATAAATCATGTAGAGAATGGTTTCAACATTTCAAGGATGGAGATTTCAGCGTCGAAGACAAGCCTCTGGACAGCCAAAAAAATTCGAGGACAAAGAATTAGAGGCATTACTCGAAGAAGATCAGAGTCAATGCAAGAAGAGCTTGCAGAATCATTGGGAGTGACTCAATAAGCCGTTTCCGTACGATTGAGAGACATGGGAATTATTCAAAAACAAGGAAATTAGGTGCCTTATGAACTGAAACCGAGAGACGTTCAAAGGCGTTCTTTATGACAACGTTCGGCCTCATGTCACAAAAGTCGTAAAAATATATTTGGAAACGCTCAAATGGGATGTTTTACCGTACCCGCCGTAATCTCCGGACATTGCTCCTTCTGATTACTGGTTGTTCCGAAGGATGTAGCACGATTTGGTAGGTCACCGGTTCACTTCTTTCGCAGATATCGAAAATTGGCTCCAAACTTGGATCGCCTCAAAAGACGAGTCATTTTTTCGAGATGGAATTCGAAAATTGCCTGAGAAATGGGAGAAAGTAGTAGCCAGCGATGGAAAATACTTTAATTGATCTGTTCATTCATTTTGTTTTGAAATAAATACATCTTTTAACACAAAAAAACGGACCGAACTAATTTGTACTCCCAATATTAACGAAAGAAGATTAGTGAACTAGCATGTTCGATGCAATGGAATGAATTCTATCAGCGGTCGCACGGAAAATTATTAACCTCACGATTATTACTTAGCAACAATCTCTCGGATGACAGTGAAAGACGGAGAAAAGATATAAACACACGTATGGACTATTTTCAGTATCCGTTTTTAATATATAAAGTTACCCGAAACAACTTGCTGTTCTTGAAAAGACATGTTTTTAAATGAATTAAGACGACTTTTTCTTTTGCAAATCCTTAGCTTAGCTTCTCAGTTTATCAATTATAAAAGTAACAGTTTGCCTATTACAGGCAGAATCCGGACCGGTATCGGAACCGATAACCGTTTTGGAACCGATTTTTATGTTCAAACTGTAACCGTAACCGTATTGAAATTTTATAGTATCAGATAGGCCGAAACCGATACCAGACTGATAAAAATGTTTTTGGTTTTCGGTCCTTTTTCGGTTTCTACGACACCTCATATGTCGCTGCCGCCGATTATTTATTAGAAAATGCACACCACGATCAACATACTACAATAGTTACGTTCAGGGCCTCTATTCCGTTACTGTGGTTCCGGCAGTCGCCGCACAGTGGAACGAAACATACGGACGTGCGGACATCGTACTTTGCAAGCAAAATATAGCAATTAGCGGAAAGCTGAATATTGGGATGAAAATATTTGGTCAAAAGTCGATTACTCATAAACAAGAAATTAATTCTCCAATTGTTTAAACAATTCGTTGAAAAATAGGAGATATAAGAAAACTGATAGCGCCATTCGATTCTACGGGAAAAACTACATGGAATTCATGTGCTAGACAATTTTTTCTCGACCACTCTATTTATTAATAAAATAAAAAATGTTTCAATGGGTTAAGTTGTCTTCTACTGCCAGCATTTATATCAACCAATATGCACAACGAAGAGGTTGCACGGTCGGATTTTGCATATCAATTAAACTAATAACGTCATCTTTCCCCCTCGAAGCTATAAAACTTTTGTTTAAAACATTTTAGTCTGCTTAGTTTTCAAGATATTCGGCAGGTTTTAAATATAAATATGTTCTTCATAAAATTCAATTTCTCTCAAGGTCACAGGTGGTCACAGCTAATCATGGTGGAATAATGAAGGCAGATGCTTACTGACAAGGGACATGTCACAACTGTCCGGAACCGATTTGATTCTTCTTCAAATATGTTGTTAAATACACAAATCTAAAAGACACATATTTTTTTATATGCGAATATTGAGTTTTAAAGGGTGAAACACCCCTTCAAAGAAAAACGGTATTTTTCTTTAGAATCGAATATTTGCTAAACTATAAGCGATAGAAAAAAAAAACATGTAATGAAAATTTAATCGCTTGAAGAATACTTTAAAGTTATATGGACAAAATTTTTTTATTTTTATTTTTTTTGAGAATCCCCACTACTTAATTTTTTTTTGCAAAATAAAAAAAATTCAATTTACTTAATTTAAAGTTTATTTTTTTCCAAATTCAACCATATATGATAAAGTTATGTTACGAGATATCATTCTCGAAAATTAATTATAAACGCTTCCATATATGTATACGCTTATCCGTACTATGTGTGTAAGTCATTATCGCCGAAACAATAAGATATATGAAAAATGTTTATGTAAAATTTTTATTTATGTTTTCTATGTATTTATAACTGCATATTGTGTATATTTAGAATTGTAAAAAGAGTTTTAACTAATTTTAAAAAATTTAAATTAATAAGAATTTTTTTAATATATTCCCAGCTCTCTTATTATTTCTTTAACATTTAATTTCTTCTATAAAAATTAAAAACAATTTTATTCTAAAATTACCTACTTATAATAAAATTATTTTATAATTGAATTTGGAAAATATACATGTCGCAATAGTTGGCATAAACAATTTATATCTTACGTTAAAAAATTAAGATAAGATTATGTGTACGTGTTCCAGATAAGTTCTAATTAAATTATTTTACAATTAAATCTTTGCGAAGAAATACATATCGCAATATTTGGCGTAAACAATTTTTATCTTACTTTAAAAGATAAGATTATGTGTATGTGTTCTAGATAAGTTGATAATATATATTGTTTCATGTAGTAGCATAATTCTCACAGTCAGTGTAGTCTTTTCATTGTAATCATATCTGTGTAAACTGTTTTTATATTGCAATAGAAAGCAAAATTTAACATCTTTGGAAATGATTATCAATCCGTTTAACGTTGTTAGACTTTTATTGATGTCAATAAATTCAATATATCTAATAGAAACGCCAGTAACTGAAGCAGAAAAGGAATTAAAGGAAAACATACAAAAATTATTGCTGGATGGTGTTTTTCATTATAATAGGTTGGAAGTAACAAAAGAAATATATCTCGATTATGAAGAACCTTATAAATTACATAGTTCTGAAATAATTGAAGATGACGAAGAAGCATGGAATGAAGATAATTTAAATTCTCATCCTCATTGTTCAAATGATGATACAAATTTTGACAGTTTTTATAAAAGACGAGCTGTTGAGTTTTGGCGACATCGAGATATTGATAAAAATAGTAATGACAAAAAAAGGAATCGTCCTTTAAAAGTAGTGCAAAGTAAATTTAGAAGAGTTTCATCTGAACGTCAGTTAAGGCGATAGGAAGAACAAATAAATTCAGGTGGAAGTCGTATAAAAAATTATCTTACATCTCTAAATTTACACACGATAAATTTACTATAGCTATTGAATCAGGATTCATGGTTCATGATATTGATCTAAAAAGATGGGCTTTACAAGCTCAAGAAGAAATAGGAAATTTAAATCCTACATTTAAAGCATCTCACAGTTGGATAGCAAGATTCAAGAAGTCTCACCGAATTATTTCAAGAAAAGTTACGAAGTTTATCACTAGAAGAACATTAGAAGATTCTATTGATTTGCAAAAATCAGCTGATGATTTTCTGGAAACAGTAAAACCTCTTATTGAACAATTTGGATTTGAAAATATTTACAATTCAGATCAAAGTGGTTTCCAATTGGAAATTCATTCTGGAAGATCATTGTCTAACCAGGGAGAAAAGAAAGTAGAACGTGTCGTGCAATCTATATCATCAACAACCCATTCATATATGATACAACCAATAATATCCTGTAATGGCAATTTGTTGTCACCTTTATTTATTGTATTAAAAGAAGCTAGTGGTAAATTTGGACCAAGAGTAGAAGAAAATTTATTTAAACCAGAAAATGTCATTGTAAAAGCATCGAAATCTGGTAAAATGACATCAGGTATTTTCTTTTCTATTTTCTTTAATAAACTTATTTCATTTTATAATTTAATAAGAGTTATAAAAATTATTATATCATTTATATTTTTTACAGATCATTTTAAAATATGGTTAGAAGAAACTTATTTTGCAAACATTGGTCCTAATAGCGTTCTTCTTATCGATTCATGAACTGGACATTGCCCCAATACTATTTCGGATTTAACCCCTCCAGGAACACATATTACTACTATGATAATACCGAAAGGAACTACAGGGAAAATACAACCATTAGATGTTTATGGATTCAGAATTTGGAAAAATTTTGCTAAAAGATTTTCAGATACGGTTTTATTGTCGGAAAGTAATATAAATTTACATGAACGAAATAATATAATAAAATTGCAATCTTTGATACATAATCAATTATCATCCCCACGATATCAAAACTTATTTAAATATTCGTGGTTTAAAAGTGGTTATACGAATGAAAGACCAGAAGAATTTGAAAATCCAGTAAAATTTAGTTTTGACGAAACATCAACAAAA